CGTCGATATTTCCATTTGTAACCTTAACTGTGCTGCGAAGGAGTTGAAGGCTTAGCCCTTAAATATACTTTTTGCGAATATCTCTGTAACGAAAAGATTATCTGAATAGTTGTTGAATAAAAATTGTTTAAAATCTTGAGAGCTGTGAGATAAAATTAAGAAAAAAGAGCTTGACACTAAAAAAAGGGGCTGAAAGGGGCCAAAAATCTTGAATCGATAACTCTTGAACAGTCATTATTTGTTATACATTGCAGAAGCAAAATTGTTTATCTCAAAATTCTACAAATATATTTTATGATATTCATGTCGTATGTTAAATCTTCATCCCTTTGTATATCGGAAATGTTTTGATAAGCAGTACTGAACAAAACTGAGATCGGATACCAGAGATTCAAAATAAATAAAAATAATATGTGGTTTAAACTTCAAACTCACAATCATATAGCTCTGATAGTCGAGATATTGGTGTTCAAGATTCCATATTTTTACCAAAATTCTATTTACTGAACCTTGATTGCTCTATTGAATTAGGATCTATTTTTTGCATTAGTTTATTGGTAGATATTTACATTTGCAAGTGTTTTCCTTTATATGATACTACTGAAAGCAATGCATATCTATACATGTATAACTGTGTAAATTCTGGTACAGGGTCAAGAGGTCATAGATGTGCATTTGGATAAACGCTCGACGTTACTTCTCAGTGAACTCATAAGGGGTCGACGTGCGTCCAGTGGCTGAAATACATGCTGTTGGGTTGGAAATAATGCATTTCACATGTTAAAGTTACTATCAGGCAAATTTAAAGAATGAATAAGTCACAAATGTAAATACAGTGAAAACTGACTAATCGGACACCTGAATAATCCGACACACTCTGAATTTCAACGTTATATTTCTCTCCCATTTTAGTATTTTCATTAATTTTAACACTATGCAATCCGAGATCTTGTCTATTCCGACACAACATTTGTCTCCCAGTTCATGTCGGATTAGAAAGGTTTCACTATATAAGTACATGTAATAAGGTATCATTTTAAAACATCTATCAGGCTACAAATACGGGTTGGTACGAGATCAAATTCGAGTCCAAAGGGCTTATGGAAGTTAATCTTGTGACCAACCCGCATTTAAATTCCGATAGATTTTTTTTAAATGATACATTATTTCTTAAATAGATATTGGCTAGGTTCATAACTTTACTCCGGATTTTTGCACCTCTTCCGTTAGCCGGACATAGTCCGTTGCCCCCTGCTCACCACGGGGAGGTGGAAGTAGGGTTTGAGCAGGATATTAATTTCCTATATAACTAATCTCTCTATATCTAGATTTTACATGCATTTAATAACAGCAATTAAGAATTAAGAACATTTCAACTACTTCTAATACCTGTCTGAGGGAAAACAAATTTTAATTTCAAAGGTATCTCTTCTTAATTGAAAATATACATCACTGAGCACAACGCAGACATATACCTCCAAAATTATTTACTAACATTCATTCACACCAAATTTATATATAAACTAAATGTCTCAGCTATCTATAACTTTGAATGGTTTTTACAATCTATATTGAAAGTGAAGTCAGTAAACTTTAGTACATCTGACCAAATTTTACGTTTTGTTAACTAAACCTCACCATATATACATGTACATGTACTGTTCCACACAATGAAAGGAACAACTGCCAACGCTTATAAATGATTCAAAACACACTACTACTACTAATACCTATCTGAAAGAAAGCAAATTTTGATTTCATAGGTATCTCGTCTTAATTGAAAATATACATCACTGAGCACAACGCAGACTTATACCTCCAAAATTATTTACTAACATTCATGCACACCAAATTTATATATAAACTAAATGTCTCAGCTATCTATAACTTTGAATGGTTTTTACAATCTATATTGAAAGTGAAGTCAGTAAACTTTAGTACATCTGACCAAATTTTACGTTTTGTTAACTAAACCTCACCATATATACATGTACATGTACTGTTCCACACAATGATAGGAACAACTGCCAACGCTTATAAATGATTCAAAACACACTACTACTACTAATACCTATCTGAAAGAAAACAAATTTTGATTTCATAGGTATCTCGTCTTAATTGAAAATATACACCACTGTGCACAATGCATACATATACCTCTAAAATTATTACTAACAGACTTTCATTCACAACAAATTTATATTTATAAACTAAATGTCTCAGCCATTCATAAATGAGAATGATTTTTACAGTCTATATTGAAAGTAAAGTCAGTAAACTTTAAAACATCTGACCAAATTTTACGCCTTTCAAACTAAACCTCACCATATATACATGTACTGTTCCACACAACGAAAGGAACAACTGCCAACGCTTATAAATGCTTAAAAACACACTACAGCTAATAATACCTATCTGAGAGAAAACAAATTTTGATTTCAAAGGTATCTCTTCTTAATTGAATAAATACATTACTGTGCACAACGTTTATATATATACCTTCAAAATTATTTACTAACAGACTTTCATTTACACCGAAGTTATAAAAAAAAACTAAATGTCTCAGCTATTCATAACTGAGAATGATTTTTACAATCTATATTGAAAGTGAAGTCAGTAAAATTTAGTACATCTGATCAAATTCTACGTTTTTCAAACTAAACCTCACCATATCTACATCTACTGTTCCACGCAACAACTGCCAACACTTATAAATGATTCAAAACACAATTTCACTCAATCAGCAAATTCAGAGGAAAAATCAAAATATCCCATTGATAAGCGTTTGCCACTTTTAGATTTAAATTAAACGAGTTTTTTCTTTGTTAAGTCATATGTATATGTCCTGAACAACTCGGTTTTCATAATATTCAGCCATTTATTTATGTCTCTGGTTAAATAATTTTAATGCACGTCATTGAGCAGTAGAAAGAAATTAAGATTTCTAGAAACTTTAAATAATTTCAGTACTTCAAAAGGGTACACAAAGTCCAATTTTTCAATTATGAACACCAAATTTGTAATTGCCAGGGCTACTCGTTAGCTTGTGATAAGACAGAACACCAAAATTTATGACATAATAAGTAAGCTTATATTACACAACTTTACTATTATCATGACTACCTAATTCCTATGTAACCTGACTCAAAGCTTGTCCATATCCATCAATAAACTACATAAATAAATACCGGTACATATCCCTGCAATTTCAAGGGAAAAAAGAAAAAAAAATATATACAAGATCTGCTAACTGCATATTGTCATAAATCAAATCCACCTCCTTTGAAAAAATGTCAGAGTACAATACTTAAATGTTTACTCCTTACTTGATCTCTAAGTGAATGCTATTTTTTTTTTGTGCTCTCTCACTTACAAGATCGAACTGTTGCACTAGTGTTTCCTTTATTTTTAGTGATTTCATGATTATTTTCAAATAGATAATGCTACATGTATAATCATCATCAGTGCTGAAATTTTGGTGCAATCTTGTATATTCCTGATAAAGGTATTATGTTTACTTTTATTTAAGGATCTCTTTTAATTGCACAGGTGTATATTTACATGTTCTCGAAAACTAAAACTAGTTTTAGTAATACTAGAGCTGTGCAATAGCAACGCATTAGTTAATGGTTTAAAGGCATTCGAAATATGCAGATGAAAATTCATTCAGAAAGGAAGACAGTCAAGGAAAGTAATAATCTTCTGACACTGAGGGGAACAAGAAGACTGCTTGAATTCAAATCATGTCCATTATTTTTCTAGGAATTTAACAAATACAGCATCATGATAACTGTAGTATGTTGGTAATCGTTTGAGTTCAATCTGTATTGAATTGGATATGTAAACATGATCCAATATGGTCCCTCCTTCGGTAGTACTGAAAGTTACAACTTGGCAGAAGTCTTGCTCCTTCATAAATCTTTGAACTGGTCCATCAGATTTTGCGTCTTCATTAAAGTCCCCCATGAGAATACAATCTGGATAAACTGTCCTTGTGAAGTCAAGTACTCTCTGCAGGCTGTGAAGGAAAGTTGTCATGTTTGCCTTGCATGGACGATACACAACCACAATCACAATTTCTTCCTTTGGTAATTTTAGAGCCATAGCTTCAATATTCATCTCTGGAAGTGGAAGAGGTTCAAAAGGACCACTGTTATCTCTCAAATATAATCCAACACCTCCACCTTTTGAATGGCGCAATTCGTGTGTTAAAATAGTATTGTCATCATATGCCTCTTGTCTAGAAAGGTGATGAAACTGAAATCCATTCAACATAAAATGTTCTGTGTTCACCCCACACCTTAACCATGTTTCTGTCAGGCAGATGATATCAACATTTTTGAACCTCTCATCATTTTTCAAATCTCCGAAATGTCTCCTTAAGCTCTGGATGTTGTGAAGAACTACTTTGATCCCGCTGGACTTCAAGGCCTGTCCAAGGTTGTCAAAAATGAATTTCGGCATTTCAGTTAAAGCTGCCTTTACTTCTGGATCAGCATAAATTTTTTTCTTTAATTTTGCTGGATCCTCTGTTTCAATAAATAAGCCGCCTTCTGATGTTACTCTTGACAATGCAACATAAGCTTGTCCAGGAGCAAATGTTCTGTCCAAATTCACAACAATTCTGTCTGTGGTCATTCCTTGCACCTTATGAGCAGTACATGCCCATGACAGCCGAAGAGGAAATTGATGTCTAACCACAGAAGCTGTTTTCTCCTTTATTTCTTCTTGGATTCTTTCAATTAACACCATGTTTCCATCTTTTGTTTTTTGTCCTAACCAGGGCTCGAGCTGTGATTCGCCATTGTCGCCAATTGCGAATTTTTTTCAAAAGTGGCGAAAAGAAATTCATAAGTGGCGAAAATTAATTTTTTAGATGTACCATGTACAAAATTTGTGTAGTCCTGGTTAGCTCCTTTGTTTATTCAATATACACAGATAAGTCCCTTTGTTTACTTAATGCAGCAGAGGTGTGAAAACTGAAACCTACATACAGGAAATCACGTCTCGCTTGAACGAACAATGCTGACTAGGTAACTAGCCTGGAGCAATAAAGGGTTACTTGCTTGAAATAATATAATTTGGATTAAACAAGGGGGGATAAAGTGTTATTCGAAGACGAAGTTGTAAAGAAAAGATTTTTATCAAAAAAATCTGGATCTATGTAGATCGTTTTTTGTTAAACCGAAAGTAGGGAAAGATGACGAAAATTGTAAAGAATGGCTTCAAATTTTGCCTAATGTAAATTTTAAAAAGTGTACATTTATATACCATTAACTGACAAAGAGTGAAAAAGAATTTGGTTTGGAAACAGAATTATCTTTAGTTAGTAAATTACACTGAGTTATTTACAATAACCTGAGCTTGCATATTAAACCCTGCATTGAGTCTCCAAGTTGTTAAGTTTCAAACCTAATTTTCATTACTTTTTAATTTACTTCTTTTCACAATTAATTAATGAAATGATGAAAATTTCCATTTTAAAAAAATGTCATATTTTTACTAGGTCTGTAGCCCCCCCACCCCCTCCTTCCCAGGCGAAAAAAATATAAACAAGAGGACATTTTCTGTCAAGAGTTGGCTGATATCAATACAATATCAAATTAATTGTGTAATTCCAACATTATTATTTTTTTTCTTTTTTTAAATGGATACTACCATAAGCTTTAAACATTACAATTTTAAAACAATATCTGTGTCAGATAAACATAATAAAAAAATTGAATAACAAAAAGTGCATTGCATTGTCGAGAAATCAGATGTAAGTATGCCTTTTCTTAAAGCTTGTGTCGCGAAAAGTGGCGAAAAATATTTTCGGTCCAGTGGGAGCCCTGGTCCTAACTTTCTTCCAACTTCCTTGTTATCAAAAACTACCCCTACAGCTCTAAGACATGTTGCACTGTTTTCTTTGTATTGGAATTGGGAAACATAACCCATTACTCCATTCACAAGTCCGTCTTCCACATTGCAATTTCTTGTGAGCATGACTCTTGCATTGATGGACAATAGTAAGGAGTTCGGAAGGCCATCACTTGTTGATTTTAGGAAGGGTTTGTCTCTCTTAATCAGTTTTCCAGATGTTTTGTCCTTCTTATGATCTTCAGCATCAATTTCTAATAAATCTTCACACGTCTTTCTTAGCATTGTCAAATTGAATGTGTTTACTTCTTCGTTCGTGCAAAACACATGAAGAACATCCTCTGGTCCTTCTCTGAGACACCGTTCTAACATCAGATTTTGCTCCTCTGTTAATGGCTCATTTGTCTGTCTTACACGAAGGGAGTTTAGCACCTCGGCAAATGACGTATCTTCCTTTTGCCTCATTATCTGGTTTAATTCGATCACTTTAAAAAAGTCGAACCAGTAATCCACAGGATAAGTCAAATTCTCTTTATAGAGTCTCTCATTTTTCCGCTGCTTAACAGGAGGAAGCTGATAGAAATCCCCCACTGCGATTACACAAACACCTCCAAATGGATCTTTGCATTTTTTAATTTGCACTAGCCGCTCATGTACATAATACAGAAGCTTTTTGTATACCATTGATATTTCGTCAATGATAAGAATCTGTATGTCACCTATCTTTACTCTCATTTCACTAAGGCTTTGTTCTCCTAATGGCTCATATGGCAGAGGCAGATATTTTGTTAGTGAAAATAAATGATGAAGCGTGTTTCCGCCAATGTTGAAGGCTGCTGTTCCCGTGAATGCCGATAGGAGTACAGTGACCTTTTCTGGTTCACACGTCATTCTAGAAAGCAAATGTGACGCTTCATAATGAATTGCTTTTATGAGATGACTTTTACCAGTGCCTGCACCACCAGTCACAAATAAGTGCAGAGGTTCACTTTTCTTGCCATTTATCTTTGCTAAACACCACTCTCGAAGCAAATAAAATATCTCACTCTGTTTTTCATTCAAATTTTGGAGAACTGTTGACATTTCCTCTCTTGAAGTAACATTTTGGTGAACATGATACAGCACATCTGCATTATTCATCTCAGTCTCCATATCTGGAATAGCTTCCCTATCATTCTCTTGTTGCACTGTCTTCTCTTTCCTCTGTGCTATACCTTCTCTTCTTAGTACTTCTGTTTCTGGACATATGCGTGACCACGCATCCTCTGGTTCACCATCCATTTCATATGCTTCTTGGGCAATGTCCAATGACTGTTCATTTTGTGCATAATGGGAACGATTCAAATCTACAATTGATTTCACCGATTGCAATCGTCTTGTCCCTTTAATTTTCACATGACCAGTTTCATAGAAATCCTCATATAATTCGAATCCTGGAGGCTTCAATTGTTTCTCTGTTCGGTAAGGGAGAAAAAGTTGCAATATAGATCGATGATATTTTTCCGACATATTTTCAACATTGAATCTCGGATACCTTACAACAGCATGCTGTGTTCGTGTTCTGCGTTGCACATATCCCTTACCATTCTGCAATTCAAACACATTCTCGTTTTCTTTTTTTGGAACTTGAGATTTAGCAAGTACTCTGAATTCGGAGCAGAAGTTTGCGAGACACATGTTATGGAACATTGGCTTATCTGGACGGTTCTCATAACGCTCAATTATGTTTGTCATCCAGATATCATTTTCATCATCATCCTCGTCACTGATTATTTCTTCATCACTTGATTTCTTTTTGATCAAAGACAGTGGTTTGCTTAAGCGTAATGGATTGTCACCAACGGGAATAAAAACAACTTTTCTCGAACACTCTTTCATTTTTAGATTGCACACCCTATAAACAGCTTCCTGAGCACTGACCTCCCTGTGATGTAAGTATGCAGATCCAATTTTTTTCATTGTCTGTCGAGCATTGAGATTTCCCTCTTCTGCCTCTATTTTTGTTTGTTTCAGTAACATGCCCATCTCCCTTTCTGATTTTGATATGTAGGAAACGATGTATACAATACAACTGAATGGATCCAAAACAAACTGAATGTCCATGTTAGCATCCCAACATTTCAAGAGACACTGGTTATATTGGTTCGTCCATACCTCATTTGGGTTACGTTGGAGAACAACTGACCTCCTTGCTGTTATCATGTTATAAGCTTCTTCGTATAGTTCCTGAGTTAGTGAAAGGTCATCAAATACTTCTTTTGTCGTTTTTCCTTCGCCATCATTTTGTATTTTATCCCATACACTTAGCAAAATTTCCTTTGCATATGCTTTGTTTACTTTCTCCTCTCGAGTCTCTGCTTCAGACTTATCTTTGTTCTCTTCTTCTGAAGAAATTGTTATAAATGTCCTTTGGGATGGAGGCCTTGGGAAATTGAACCTACAATCAGTGCCTTTCTTCTTGCAAGATTTTGAATGATTCTTGCTATGCTGTTGTACATCCAGGACACTTTTTCTCAGCTCTGCGTCATCAATTTCCGAGGGTATGCCACATGTTACATATTTGTCAATGAAGTTACAGACAACTTCCTCTCCATCAGAGTCAATGTTAGGAGCATTTGACACCCAGTATAAACAATGCATATGTGGTGATCCTCTCTGCTGAAACTCGACTCTTTGGAAAAAGTCTACCACTTTTCCGATTGGTTCACAAGGTGAAAGAATGACCTCTTTATGAAATACCTGAAATCTATGTTCGAACATTCGAGCAACTGTGACAGGATTGCATCTTAGAACTTCATTCTTTTCTGACCATTCCATTTCATCAGGATTTCTGTCATCACTCTGCTGCCTTAATATAGCCCTAACTGCATCATTCCATCTATATTCTGCAGCACTAAACGAACAAAACCAGGTTGGGATTCCTAACTGCCGCAACATTGCAAAGAGATCTTTCTGAGCAGTTGCCCAATATGCGGGTGTTCCTCTTATCGGTTGCATGAACCTTATTGCCTCATCATTCCTCAACAAACTACAGAGCGTAGTAGGATCTTGAAGCATATTTGCTGTCACTGGTTTCCCGCTAGAACATTTTGACAAAGATTTTCTGAGTGAAATCCGAGTTTTTTCAATCACTTGGTTGAGTTCGGACATGTACTGGCTAAAGAAAATGTAATTTGTGTCCTTTGCAAACCTATTATCCGCATTCATTAACCTATTGTTAAAATACCTAGATAGTGTTAATTTTTGTGATCTTTCTTCATTCCAAGAAAATCTTCCGCTTGGGAAATGACAAGGAAACGCTTTTGCTTCATTTCCAGGCTCTTGTAGCATTCGCACAGGATTCTTCCCTTCACCAGGTGCAATGTTGTAAACATCATCGAAATAATGGTCCAAAACTTCTTGTGCAACATCTACGGGTTGTAAACAAGTGTCAAATGCAATCATTTGATCATCGTTTTCATTACTCTCTTCATTTTCTTCTTCACAATCAGTCATTTGCCCAGGAATTTCCATGTCATCTTTCTGAATGGATTCAATTATGACATTTTTGTACCACTGATTGTTCTCTTTCAAGAATGTCAAGGCTGACATTACATGGTTTGTATTAACAAACTGGTATTCAAAATAACCTTTGTACGCCAGCTTCCTTTTTAATTTCACTCGCAACAACAAGTTATCATCCCCTTGTTTTGGTAAACTGGTAGTTTTTCTCATGTCTGAGGGCACACAAATAACAGGTCCGTGTACATTTCTTTGTCCACCATGTGGAAGAGCCATGATTTTCATGAACGGTATGTGAAGTGCAATGAGATGTTGTTCTAAGCTGTTTAAGTTTGCCAACTCAGGTGGAATGTCCTCTAAAGTCATATTGTTTGCAGCAGCCTCTGATGGTGCTTTGCCACTTAATATTTTCCTATGGCAAGTGTAACAAATCCATGATGATGATTTAGTGCATGTTTCCGGACATGATTCAGAACACTCATGGAAATACTTGCCTAGCAAACAAATATGTGAGATAGTTCTTGCTGCTTCACTTTTTTCATACATTTGATGTTCACAAACTTGTACTTGATTTCTGAACAACAGCCTATGACAACAAGTACATGCATAATCTGGTCCTTTCGATGCATTTTCTTTAAATGATCTCAAAACTTCTTCTGCCTGTTTCATTTTGTTTTTTTTAATTTTCCTATTCTGTTGTACTCTACTCTTTTTTCTCTCTTGAACATCAGGGGATGACTTGTAGCTAGTCTTGCTACGATTCTTCGTGAGTAATTGAACTTCAGCATTAAATTGATATCTTCTTCCAGCTTGTTCTTTCTTTTCAGCTCTAAAAGCTTCATTCCTTCGATACCTACAGACATTGGCAGCCTTGTTCTTTTTTCGGTAGAATTCATCTGCCTTGTATTTATCCAATATTGTTCGTTTTAAATTGGCCTTATGCACAAGATCAGTCCTGTACTTTTCAGTACTTGCTTTCTTAACATTTTTCTGGTGTTCCAAGTCAGTCCTGTACTTTTCAGTACTTGCTTTCTTAACATATTTCTGATGTTCCAAGTCAGTCCTGTACTTTTCAGAACTTGTCTTCTTGACCTTTTCCTGATGTTTCAAGTCTGTCTTGTACTTTTTTACACTTGCTCCCTTCACATTATTCTGATGCTTCAGATCTGTTCTGTATTTTTCTTTACTTCTTCTTTTGGCACATTCTCTGTGCTTCAAGTCCAACTTATATTTTCCAACACTTTGTATCTTCTTTTGCTCTTTATAATTCAAATCTGTTTGATACTTTTCTTTACCCCTTTTCAAAACCTTTCCTCTGTGTTCAGCATTTAAGGCATATTTTAACTGGTAAGCAATATTTCTATGATAACGATGCCTGTTGCTCAATTGTGCTTTCAACTTATACTCTGCATTTGTATACATTTTCTTTTTATGCTTCAACATTTTTTCCCTGAACTCCTCATTTTCCTGATATTTTTTCTTTAGGGCAGCCTTGCGATTTTCATTCGAGTCCACGATCACTTTTAATTCTGGAGCCTTGCGCCTATTTCTCATATGCATTTGCTTTTCTTTTCGAAGGATATATTCTCTTCCACCAGGATTATTCATGAGGAAACAGTCAATTTTTGCCAACCTTGATGTCACTTGCAAAACAACATCATAATGATTCTGTTCTCTGTGATATAAATAAATTGCTTCTCCCTGATCTCCTGATTCAGCACACAGATCATGCCCACTGAACTGAAGCCACCTCATATCTGAGTAAGTGTATATGTCTACATTCAACATATGTGCTGTAGCAAGAATCTCCAATTCCGTTGCCCATATACCTTCCTGTGTCATTTTACTTGAGAGCAAGTATGATTGCAAAGATCCCTCTGATCGCATGAATTGTCGAAATTCTGTTTCATTTTTCAGCAAGTGTTTACAAACAGCTTCACGAATTTGTTTGTGATGGATTTCAGAGTTTGTCAAGCTAAATGATATAGCCCTGAAAAAGCAATTCCCATCTCTTTCAATATCTTTACAGCTTCTAGGCACACCCATATCTCTTACAGATACTGAACTGTTGTGACGTCCTAAAACGACATATGAAAACCCCATTTTCTTGCACAAATCCTTCTGATTCTGAACAGATAAAGGAATAAAATCATGCTGCTTGCTTTCCTCGTCCACAAAAATCAATTCATCTGTATGTAACATCTCTGGTTGTTCTGTTGATAATGCATCCTGATTTAAACCTATTTCTTTTCCTAAATCTCTCTCAGCTTCTTCTTGGTCATACACTTCAGCCACAGCAAAATTCTTCAAGGAACATAATACCCCTGTTAGTTCACATTCAACAGTTCTTGAAAATCCCATTGAAATTGCTAATGACCTTAAGTGCAAATAAACATCATGAACATTCTCTAATAAAATTCTTGTACTCTTTCCATGCATACTAAGATATCCACGAGAACATCTTGAATGGGAATCAAATATGAAAAACCCATCAGTTGTCTTCCCAACTACCAAAGTATTTCCTCCAAAACATACAAAACATCCGACTGTTTCATGAAGTGTCATTTGCAGAGCTTCAAAAAGGGGACAAGCATTAAAATCTTCATAACATGGTTCCTCCTCTGATAAGCTGATTAAACTTGGTACTGATACCTTCACTGTGAATTCAAATGTTTTACTGAAGCATTCAAAATACTGCGGCAACTCTTCAACTAACAAATATCTACTTGTAACTGAAGAACTGTTCTGTAGATATGTGTATAGTTCATCCCCATTCACTAAAACTTTGTTGACATCAGCTGTTTGCCAGATTTCTGCACTTTTCAGAACATGATAAGCTATAGCTGATAGACAATTTGCCACACATTGAGTCCCTGCATTGTCACCAAACATAGGATCAGCTTGATGGAAAGAGCCCTGGACAGATACAGGATATGATTTTCTTGCTTCTAAATTTGTATTCTCCTCACCAGGGCAATCCTGCATACTACTACTTTCTTTCTGATCACTTTGTACCTTCAAATCTCTTATATTCTGACCCTTTTTCCTGTGAAAAATTCTTTCGTTTGTTGATTTCATATCTTTCTTTCCATCATTTTTCAACTCATTTTCTATAATCTCTGTATCATCTCTGAAACCCAACATACTTTCTACAGACTCCAACATATCTCTTTCTCTGTTTATACTTTCTATAATATCAGGTTTTTCGTTCAAGTTTCTGTTTGATATTCGTATAGTTTCCAGTTTAGAATTCGTTAAAGTGCCCTCATCTTTTGATATTCTACTGGTCTCCTCCATCCTGGAGGTATCCAGCTGCGCCTGTCCTGCTGGATCAGACATATGCACTATGTCCGATCCAGGTGCTCTCGGTGGAGCACAAACCCACGGTGGGGAGTCAGTGGACGGTGCCTTGCCCTCGTCATGGACAAACAGACGACTTCCCCGAGGAGATGGCAACCTCGGGGCAGGTGAATGCATTTTCACTCGAGGTGAGGCCTGCACCCTGGCCAGGGGTTTTTCCTCTTTAGGTGGAAACCCCATCGAACCAAGCCCCGGAAAATTACCGGGAGGAGCTGAATCAGCTCCATCCACTGTCCCGCAAGGAACAGCAGACTGTTGTGACGTCAAAGCTGTGACCTCATCTGGCAGAATTCCTGCAGTCCTTTGCCTTTTTTCTCTTTTTCTCATCTTGTCTTGAATCATTCTCTGTCTTGCAGACATTTTCCTTTTCTTTGCCATCTGAAAAAAACATTATTGATACACTAGAGATTACTACAACTACCCTGAAGACAAGAGGCCCATGGGCCACATTGCTCACCAGAAAAGTTTTGACCATTTCGTTCTTTGCAAGATTTCCCCTTTGAATACTGTACAGCAGGAAATTAACTCGCTGAGTTAATATTCGCTATATTCGCGGAAAAATTCCGCGAATTCAACATACAGTGAATAATTTTTTAAAAGATTTATGAGGATAAATTGAAATTTTATTATTTTCTGTGATTAGTTGTATACTGTCTTTATAATTATGAAAGTGTATGGATCAATAACAAACACGTATGCATCATATGTTGTTGGTGTTTTTAAGGAGGCTGGGGGGTCAACAAATTAATCACAAATTAACCATCAGATTTAACTTAATTGTTTTAGCTAAGGTAACATAAGCTGTCTACTATAATTTCACAAAGAAAAAATTCATACATTTTAGTTTTAAAATTTGATCATTTTCTATATCTTCATACGGAGCTCTCCTTTTAAAGGAGATAAAAATAGTCTGAAAATGGCTGCCACACCCCAGCCTCGTTAAAGCTTAGTACCGTAATTGATAAATTTATTTTTAAAGCTATCGATTAATTTTGCCATCTAGTAGACGTGCGATGTAATTATTTAACAAAACATGTTTGTTTGTTTAAAATTACCCGTGCTTTTCACTCTGTCATTACCTTTAATCAAGGCACTTACGTAGTAAATAGGGCAACGACAATCAATTAATTTCAATTATATGACTAAAAGTTTCAACAGTTTGACTATGGTATAATTTTTTTTCTGATTTGGACACAGAAATAAAAAAATCTGAATGCGTAACATTATTTTCACTTCAAATCAGGTGCAGTCCAGTGTTATGCTATTATTCAATTGGGATCAACATTGACACAATATATAGACTTAACTTCCTGTCTGATATGCGCGATAAACATGCAAGACTTTCGTAAGATAGAGACGGGGAATATCAGTTCACACAATAATCACCTAAAGAACAAGAAATCTGTGAGCCAATGCTCACTAGTAATACCCCTGCTCTGATGTGAATAAACACTATCATGTAAATATATATATCAAAAGTTCAATTGAAAAATAAATTGAATCTCACTTTATAACATGTTTCAACAAAGAGTCAAACATCTGCGATGAGCAGTTGCTGAGAAAACTGAGACAAAAATGTGTTATGTATGAAACGAACAGACGCACAGACAAACAGGAAGTTGACATCGGATTTCAACAACAATGTATCCCAATGTATGGCAAGACTCAGACAAGATTGTATTAAAATTTCAAGCTACTGCCGTGAGAACTTGCTGAGAAAAACTCCGAAGAAAATTTGTTATGTATGAAATGAACAAACGCACAGACAAACAGGAAGTTGACATCCGATTTCAACAAAAATGAACCCAACGTATGGCATGACTCAGAGAAAATTGTATTAAAATTTCAAGCTTCTGCGATGAGAACTTGCTGAGAAAACTGCGACTAAAATTTGTTACAGACAGACACACGGATGGACAGACAGACAGACACACAAGGGCAAAACAGTATACCCCCTCTCCTTTGGAGCGGGGGTATAAAAATGCTTGCAAGTACTGTTTAGGAAAAGTATTTTCCTTTGCGCGAATTCAAACGACTGTGATTTCCTTAAATTTGAACAAATCGTGATCTTTTCCGACAGCAATTTTAACCTGCTATACAGTACACATTGTGACACCACCCTACCTCTTTGATCATAATTTACACAATTTGAAATCTACACTACAATAAGATGCTCTGATTCCTCAACGTAAAATTTGATTCCCCATTGTGGCCTCGCCCTACCCCCTGGGGTCATGATTTTAATAATTTAGAATCTACACAACCCAACGATGATTCCATGTAAGCTTCAGCTTTTCTGGCCCAGTGGTTCTTGAGAAAAAATTCTCAAAGATTTTTATATATTTCTATGTAAAACTTTCATTCCCCATTGTAGCCCCGCCCTACCCCCGGGGTCATGACTTCAACAATTTAGAATCTACACTACCCCAGGATGCTTCCACATAAGTATCAGCATTTTTGGCTCCGTGCTTCTTGTGTAGATTGTTTTCAAAGATTTTTTCTATATATATATATTTTAAAACTTTGATTCCCCATTGTGGCCCCACCCTTCCCCCGGGCGGTCATGATTTGAACAATTTAGAATCTACACTACCCCCGGATGCTTCCACATAAGTTTCAGCTTTTCTGGCCAAGTTTTCTTGAGAAGATATTTTAATGACCCCACCCTATTTTTGTCTTCTCTTGATTATCTACCCTTGTGAGGGACTTGGCCCTTCATTTTAACAATTTAAAATTCCCCTTCACCCAAGGATGCTTTGCACTAAGTTTGGTGGTTCTTGAAAAGAAGTCGAAAATGTGAAAAGTTTACAGACCGATGGATATACGGACGGAAAGACTGACGACAGACAAAATGTAATCAGAAAAGCTCACTTCAGCCGTCAGCTCAGGTGAGCTAAAAATGTATCCCACCCTACTGCATGCCTCAGAGAAGATTATGTTAAAATTTCAGCATCTGCTATTAGTATTAACTGAGAAAAATGTGACTAAATTTTTTTACTGACAGACACATGGACGGACGGACAGATAAAACAGTATACTCCCCTCTCTTTCAGAGCGGGGTATAGAACAGTATATAGAAAAACATTCCTATCATTGCAGGATTAGAGATAATTATAAATTGATAACTATAGGACGTGTTTAATTTTTACAATGGTGTAATTAACAGTATTTTGTAACTTTTATTGGTAAACAAAATATATAAATTTCCAACAGTACGGCACAAGTTATAGCATGTATTACTTTAAGTTAAGTTACACTACTGAGAGTGATACTTTGAAAGAATGCGAAAAAACTTATCACAGTTTCACAATAATCACATGCAACATAAACAAGAGGTATCGCTCACCTGAGCATTGTAGCTTGGAAAAAAGCAGAAATCAGTTTATTATTGAAAAGTGGTTCCAATCAAACTTTAAGGGGGAGAAGGTATGATTTGAACAAACTTGAATCTACATTAACTAAGGATGCCTTCTTATTTCTTTAACTACCTGTGGCTTTATTGCCCTTTACATTTGAACTTACATTGTTGCCCCGCCCTACCCCCGGGGGTCATGATTTGAACAAAGTTGAATCTACACCATCTACGAATGCTTCCATATAAATATGACTAATCATGGCTTCGCTATTCTTGAGAAGATTTTTCATGAATTGCCTATAAATTTTTATGTAAAACTTTGATTCACCACTGAAGCCTTGCCCTACCCAGGGGGTCATGATTTGAACAAAGCTGAGTCTACACTTCCTGAGGATGCTTCCTTATATTAAATATGATCATTCATGCCTTTAGTATTCTTGACAAGAAGATTTCTAAAATATTTTCCTAAAAATGTCTATGTAAATCTTTGATCGTTCATTGTGGCCCCGCCCTACCCCTGAGGGTCATGATTTGAATAACTGAATTTACGTTATCTGAGGATGCTACCATATAAGTTTCTTCTATCCTTGTACAGTGGTTCTTGAGAAAAATATTTTTTTTTAAATTCCCTACATATTTCTATGTTAAACTTTGATCGGCCATTTTGGCCCTACCCTACCCCTGGGGATCATGATTTGAACAAATTTGAATCTACACTACCTGAGTGTACTTCCATATAAGTTTCATTTTTCCTGGCACAGTGCTTCTTGTGAAGAAGATTTAAAAAAAAAAACTTTATATTTTTTATGAAAAATTTTGATCAGCCATTGTGGCCCTGCCCTACCCCCCCCCCGGTCCATATTTGAAGAAACTTGAATCTACACTATCTGAGGATACTTCCATATAAGTTTCAAGTTTTCTGGCACAGTGGTTCTTGAGAAGAAGATTTTATAACATACCACCAAATTTTCACTATTTCAGAATTATCTCCCCTTAATCAGGGTGTGGCTCTTCATTTGAACAAACTTGAATCCCCTTCACCTAAGGATACTTTGTGACAAGTTTGGTTCAAATTGGCCCAGTGGTTCTTGAGAAAAAGATGAAAATGTAAAAAGTATAGGACAACGTCAACAATACCAACAACGACAGACATCGGACAAATTTTGATGAGAAAAGCTTACTTGAGCCTTTGCTCAAGCTTTTTACTGTTTTGTATATTGTGTTATTTTTGTTTTCTACAAATAGACCCCTAGAGACCTCCACCTTTTTATCATTTTTTTGATGTCCCTACTTTTTCAGTTGTCTTGAAACAAAAGGGTGCTCATTAATATGTAGCACTAATGCTTACAAGTAAATATTGTGACAACTTATTTATATTCATTTGGAGTTTGATTTTCCCACCTTTTGAATATAGGTGAAGGTCACTGTGTATCAAAAAGCACGTGTTTGAACTAAGTACCTCCAATAGTTCATGAAGTAAATAAACATTTGATAATGTTAATTAGACTTGTATATTTTCCGCACTTTAATGCAAAATATGTCTTAAATATTATGATATTAACCAATGAATCATTCTATCTATATCGAAGCATACATGCTATTTATAGAACGACTTGTGATTGTTGGAAAAACCCACATGTGCCTTAACAAGTGTATTGCTTTTATCGTGTATTCTATATTTTTTTTTATAGAAAGATATGTAACTGATAACATTCAATTGGTACACAATTAATAATTCATGCATAGCGGAAAGCATGGGGGCAACATGTGATGCATGGCGGGAGATCATGAATGCATGGCGGTACCGCCATGCAAAAACGGCCTGGGGAAAACACTGGTAATGGAAAGCTTTGAAATCATGAAAGGGGGGGGGGGCATAAACGTGAACTACAATATTAACCACATCAGTTATACCTACAGAGTACAGAGATGCACCCACCCATCCAATATTGCAATATTATTTGTTGATCATTTTTCATGACACCATGAAATACAGAATTCTTGG